ATAATTGAAGTTAAAAAAATAATAAAGTTCTAGGGTCAAGCTCCCTCCTTTACTGTGCACATATTCACCAATCATAACACACACCTCATCTTTCCACCTCCCCCCTCCGAGATAGCATACCCTCACTCAGCACATGGGATAGTTTAGGTCAAAATACATACATATATATATATATATAGCCACAGAACAACAATTTGTCATTTACTATTTTGAGCAGTGGTGCAGCTTTATAACCAGATGGAGATGTAATATGTATCTCAGCAGTTCTCTCTTCAAGTTGATTTTTCCGAGGATCCACAGAAAGTAGAGGCATTGTTGGGTCCTCTTCTCCACCACCATGGTGTTCAGGCTCTGTTTGAGGTCTGTCTATGTGCATACCCAGGAACTTAAAGCTAAAACACTCCACGCATGCTTCATTTATGCAGATGGGCTGTAGAATGGACTTCCTCCAGAAGTCAACAATCAATTACTTTGTCCTAAAAACACTGAGAACCGTTATTATCATCACACAGTTCCACCAGCCTCCAAACTTCCTCCCTGTCTGCTGTCTTCCTACATCCAGACATAAATCCTATCAAGGTGGTGTCATCAGCATACATAGTGACAGCATTATTAGGGTGAGTGCTGACGCAAATGTTTGTGTACAGAGTGCAGAGCAAAGGACTCAGTACATAACCATGTGGAAAGCCAGTGTTTGGGCTGAGGTCTGTGGGGATATGAGGACCAACTCTGACTCTCTGTACCTTGTCAGAAAGGAGATTTTTGATCAAGCAGCAAGTGGCAAATTCAAGTCCAATATCTAGTAGCATTGCTGCCAGTTTATCTGGGAGTATGCTATTAAAAGCAGAGCTAAAGTCAATAAAGAGCAGCTTGTTCTAGCAACTCAGTTGTTCTATGTGGGAGATGGTTTTATGGACTATTTACTGTGGCAATGGTGTCCATGTTTTATTGAGTCTCTTGTAACTTTTACCGTTATCTGTTGGTTTGGATTTTGGACATGCAAAAACAGGAACAAACTCTCAGGGATTATTTAATTATTTATTAACCTTTATTTAACCAGGCAAATCCCATTGAGATCAAAGAGCTCTTTTGCAAGTGAGGCCTGGGCCTGAAGGCAGACTAACATGCATGTTTTTAGTCTGTGGGAGGAAACTGGAGTACCCGGAGAAAGCCCATGCAAGCACAAGAAGAACATGCAAACTCCACACAAAAAGACCCCAGGTCCAACTGGGGATTGAACCCAGGACCTTCTTGCTGTGAGGCAACAGTTCTAACCACTGAGCTGTCGTGCTGCCAACATCGTGCTAACCACTGTGAGGATGCGCAGCAAAACTGCTGGCATAGCTCTACAGAACCTCACTGACCTACACAAGGTGAGGTCAGTGAACAAGGCCAGGCTGATTCTGGCAAATCCTGATCAACCACTCCATGGTGAGTTCAGGTTGCTTCCATCTGGACGCAGGTATCTGCTGCCCAGACGTAGGACAAACAGACTGAAAATCTCATTTATCCCTGTAGTGATCAGGCTTCTCAACGAACAGTGATGATTTTGTGTATGCATTTTAATGTTGTACGGTTATTTTAATGTCTTTAATGTTTTAATGTCTTAATGTCTTGTCTAGTGTAGATGTTTCATGTGCCTACTGACTGTGAAACAAATTGCCCCTTGGGGATAATATTCTTGGACTTGAACTTTGTTGGTCTGTTAGCTCTGTAAGCAAACTGAAGCTAATCAAATATACAGTAATTAGGAGGCAGGAACAGTTTTATGTCAACTGGTGTCAGAGCTACTGGCTGATAGACATTAGAGCTGATGATGTTAGCCTTTTTGGGCATCAGGACGACTGTGTCCAACTTCAGGCACAGTTGGATGAATGACTGGGACAGGATGTGTTAAAAATCTTAGTGAATACCCTGGTCTGCTTGTCTGCAAACTCTCAGAGGACTCTCCCAGTCACTATCTGGTCCCAAAGCTTTCCTGGGAAAGCTTCGTGCATTCCTTCATGAAGAGACTGCTGCAGTCAGAGGATCGAGCTGTGGCTGCCCGTGGTCTGCAGCAAAGGTGGAAAAAGTGCTAAAATAAGTAAATTTCACTTGAGTACAAGAAATGTTACTTGTGTAAAAATCTACTCAAGTAAAATCAAAAGGTGAGTCAGTAAACAGAGCTGCGGTGAGTTCAATTCCATCTTAAAGCTTTTTCTGTTTGATTCTGTTTCTACTGAGACCCAAACAGAAAAATCAGACTCGAGCAACATTTACATGATTTCATAGTTTTACTTGCTGCTGCTGTAAGGTTTTAAACAGATTATCACATGGGACAAATTAAATGTTCCTCTTTCATCGTAAAGTGACTATTCAATACATTTAGAAACCAATACAATATTAGTGTTTCCGTTTTCAAGTTTAACCCCAATACTATGTTTACTATGGGTATACAGTATTTTCATTAGATAATTTATTCTAATAAATAAAGCTTATGGATTCATTTTTTTGAAGAATATATAGAACTATTTTTTTTAAATAATTGACAAATCTCAGCAAACATGAACAATGTGCTGGAAAATTTGAGTCAAACAGTGAAATTTTCAATTTTGCACCCGAAGCTGCAGTTAGACAACATCAACAACAAAATTAAAAATAATAATAATAATCATAATAATAGTAATAAATAAATATATATATAAAAAAAAAAATTCTTCTTCTTTGACCAGACTGCCCTTTTTACCTGATGTCTTGTAATTTTACTGGGACATAATTTCTCAACACAAGTGATAAAAAACAATTAACTACATGCCACTTTTATTCTGCACACGTTATGCATTTCAATGCTCTTCACATGTGGATAACATTAAAGGGGACAAAGGGTGCATTAAAGTAAAGGCTTTATTTAAACAAAAAATGTCAAACTGTCAGCAGTGGGAACCAGATTAAGTGCTTTGGCTGGATTAACGTCAGGGATTATAAATGGTCTGGATGTGATTTTCCATTGGGACAGAACACGCATGTTTTATTTATTTTCTATATTTCATCTTGGGTTGGATATGTCAGCTGGTACATTAGAAGGGGTTTTAGTAGAGAAGGTTATTCATTGAAGGTTATAATTTATGTCTGATCTGATCATATTACGTGGATTTTAACCATATAAAAAACACCATTCCTTGAATAAATGGATATCACCCTTCACATTTCATGCCAGACTTCATGCCAAGATCATCATATTATAAAAGGGACAGTTTTAAACATTTTGTTCCAACATTTTTAATGACTTAATACAAATTTTATGTGAGATCTTGAGTGATGTTAGCTTTTAGAGTATGTGTAGAGGATGACCATTTCTACCACACCAAATTTTAGCTCAGTATCTGAGAGTTTGATCTAAAGTGTTCATGAAATATTGTGCTGACAGACAGAGTTGACTCCAATAGTTACAACTATTCCAACTCCAGCTAACTCAGCCTTATAGATGCCAACATGTTAACAGCTCTTCTGTCTTTGGTGTTACTTTGCTGACAAAGGAGGGTGATAGTGTAATACCTTCATTGTATTTGTTTAAAACTGCAAAGGCATTTTCTCCAGAATAGCAATTCGGTAGACAATTTTAAATAAATATTTGTGTTCTTACTTACTAAACATACAGAAGTCATTAAATTATTTCCTCTGGACTATGCTAACTCAAATATTTGTAATAATTATCTTTGCTGTTGACTGAGGAGTTTAATGTGTTCTTTGCGTCAGTCATCCACAGCACCAATTCTGTCGGAGTGTTTGGAGCAAAGACTGAAACCAGTTGCTAACAATAAAAGTTCCCATCCTGTGTTTTGCTGCAACCACTGTGCTTCCACTGCATTGTCTCACTGCAGTCTGTGACAAAGCTCTTTAAGTGGTCTGCCTACGTTTCTGTCCACATCTATGGTCAGACTTGGAGGATGTCTGTGCTGAAGGGTATCTCAGACGGGACTGAGTCTGTCTCTGGTGCCCAAGTCAGCCATCCAAAGTAGCAATTTTAGTACGGTAGTAGTTGAGAGTCATCACCATGATATTTTCTGAGTGCTAACACAGCATGATCTTCCCACTTTACATGAGATGATGCATAAGGATTCAAGGTTCTTTATTTGTCATACACACCGCATGTGGTACATGTGGTGGAATGAAATAGTGTACACAGGGTCCCAGTTGCATCCAACAAAAGTATAAAATGTAAAAGAAAAACAGTGATAAGATAATAAGTAACAGTAATAAGATAATAAGGACATTTGATCAGCTGCTATGTGTGTGCTACAGAGTGTTTTTGTGCTACTCCCCCTTTTTCAGCATGTAGGAGCAAACCAACAAAATCCTTGGTCCAAAGAAATGGTCCTGTTTCCACTTGTTTGGATGTAATTGTGATCATGCAGCTGAGCCCAGCTCAGGGTTGCCAGATAAACATAAATATGTTTTCTTGCTCCCTCCTTTTCTGTGCACATATTCCCCAAACGCAACACACATCTCATCTTGCAACACCCTCAGCACATGTGACAGTTTGGGTCCAAATGCAATAAGTTAAAAGCAACAGTACAAAAGTTAATCATTTCTTATCTGGCAACCCTGCCTGGCATGGAAATTGCAGCATTTCCATTTAAACCAGCTGTTCTTCTTTTTTTAACATGTGCAGCAACATAGACTTGATCTCCCTTCAGAAAAGCCGCCTGCAGGCTTCAGGGCAGCTCTGACACGGTTTGACAGGCCACTCCTGTCCTTGATCTTGTCCTGTCATGAACTGCAGCACAAACAGGTGGAGGGAACATCTTCAGCTCCAACTTCACCTGAGGACGTCAGCCTGGCTGCAACTTGACGATACTGTGTTTTCAGCTCCCAGAAAGCTTTAGATGTATTGTTTTATTCCGGAAAAGGTTACAGACAGAAACTTGGGCTGATTTACAAAAAAACATTTTATTTCCCTGGAGACCAGAGGCATACGTTAACAATTGACATGACAGTAACTGACTTTTGTTTTCTCACAGGGAGAAGCTCTTACCATTAATATCTGATCACAGAAGAAATGAAAGAAGAAAAAGGTAAGACTTTATTTTTTCTATTTAGCTAAATGTAATTGCACTGCACCCTTTGTTAATTCATTTTAGCACATTTCTGTTTTCACACTGCATAGATGTATTGACGATTAGGTGTGTCACAAAAACCTGTTCTAAATAGACACATACATTAAACCTTTCAAATACAAACAATATTTGGCTAATCTAAAAAAGTTAAATCTGGTCCTCTGGACATTCAAAAAAAACCAAAACAAAGCAAAACAAGATTTTTTTTAGATTTTTCTACCTGGATTATTGAGCATGCATCATAATATTTGGCTAAATTTGAGCATTTTCTTGAAAGTTTAAATCTTATAATTAAAAACAAGACACAACAATTTGTAACTAATTTTAATGAGAGTAGAACATTTTCTACCGTTTATTAACTATAATGATAAAGTGGAATATCATTTTGACAATTTCCTTTTTTCCTTTAATGAGTTGCTGTAGCTCAGTGGTCGGTGTCACGGTCCTGTTATCCTGAGGCTGCAGGTTCGAGCCCAAATTGTATCAGGAAGTGTGTCAAGTGGAAAACAATCGACTAATCTTTCATGCAAAGTCACTTGCTATGACACCCCCTGCAGGGGGGAGTAGCTGAACTGGAAGCTATGAAATGAAAACAAAAATATCAAGTATGCTGGAGCAGATTTTAAAGTAAAAAAATGAAGGAATTAAAGAGATCAAAATGTTTTTCCATGGGGGAATAATTGTAAATAAAGTGAAATGTTTTGCATAGTGGCCCTGTGATGGACTTGCGACCTGTCCAGGGTGTACCTCGCCCCTCGCACAGTGATTGCTGGACATGGGCACCGGCGACCCCCATGACCCAAAATGGAAGAAGCGGGTAAAAGATAATGGATGGATGGATGGGTTTACATAGTGTAAAAAAAAAAAAAAAAAATGTCAGAGCACCCATCTCCTGAATGAACCGAACATTTAGAGATATGAACAGCTAAAAAAGCTCCAAGTCTGCAGAAGTACTTACTGGTAGATTTAAAAAAAAAAAATTACAAGAAAAAAAGAAGTAAAACAATAGTGTGAATGTCCTGATGCATGCTCAATAATCCAGGTCGAACAATCTAAAAAAGTTAAGTAAGGTCCTCTGGACGTTCAAAAAACAAACAAACAAAACGTAGAAATAGTTTCTTTAAGTGAAAATTTTTTCGTCCCCCATCCAGAGGACTTCCTCAGTCTATGGCCTGCCAACCAGATCTGTCCCATAGGTAGCCTTCACTGCTGTGTTTCACATAAATGGGAGTTTTTCTACATTGCACTCGTTCATTTGACAGCTAAAGACAGTTGTTTGTACATAGTTTCTGCCAGTAGAACCAGTTGGAACACACAACTCCTTGTTCTGGGCTTTACAGCCGAACAGGTAACGTTTCTGCAGCAAACAAACACCGTGACTGTTCTGTTCTCAGTGTTCCTCATTTGTTTTCAGATGTGCCTCCAGATATTGTTCTACTGGCGTGAAATAACATTTCTAGCCTCCTGTTGATCCCATCAAAACATTTTTATCCAAGCATGTTGCTGGCATCAGATTGATAATGATTACTGGGATCATTGCGTACTAGTTTAAGCCCCTGATATAAATTAAAACTAGAGACAGGACAGGAAGCAGGAAGTTGAAGCCACAAATAACCAACTTCTCAGTGGCCCAGTGCAGTATAGTTTTTAAGTCCCACCCATTCATGTAAACAAATAAGACATCCATCCATCCATCCATCCATCCATCCATCCATCCATCCATCCATCCATCCATCCATCCATCCATCCA